GTATTGTCAGAAATAGGCGGACGAACATTTTGTCGTTGGTGCTGGTCCAGCAGATTTCTTTACACTAACTTGTTGGACGATACTAATTAGTAGGCAAGGGAAGTGGCAACCATGTTAATGACTACTTGGTGCAATGCAAGAGCATATTTCTCAGACATGCGCTAAGTAAACAACTAAGAAATACTGAAAAGCGCCGAACCTAACATTGTCGAACCAAATTCAAACAAATATATATAATTAATTATTTATGTAAGAATTTTTAAATGTTTAATTAATTATAAGTTCGGGTATTTCTCGGATAGTTAATATCCGATCTGAATCGTGCTCCCGTTCTGCCCAATGTAGCAGGTCATTGCGACATAATAAGGTATATGTTGTCATCTTAACACAGATTTTCATGTTTGAAAAATGAATATCATTATTAAGCATTATTTAATGAGCGAGATCTGTATTAATAAGTAGGGTATGAATCTAGAGCTCAAAGCATCGAAGTTCTGCTTGTATATTTCAGGTAGTGGTATCTCTACAATCCGCAGTTTTCTTCTTATCCTCTATACTAACAATGGTATAGACCGTTCGAGTTTCATGAAACGCATACGCCGGAAAGAATGGAATGATGTGAACCTCCACGTCAATTAATCTGCGTGCATGTGTCTCTCTATTTTTGAACGGTTAATCATGATGATTTAATAAAGAAAGTAACATATAAAGTTACCTTTTTCGACTTAAAAATCGTCTCCTGATGATTGCAATGACCTTGAAATTAAGAGTTGCAACTTTATTTCAAGAAAAGAAACTTTATTGTGGAAAAACCGTAGTATTGAGCTCTCCATAACTCTCTCTCCCATTAAACCTTGCGCGTTTAGAGTATAATTAAAAGTTTTTGAGTCTTCAGTCCGTCCAGACCGCGTAGCTCAGTTGGTAGAGCATCAATCTGGTAATTTGAATCAGCTAATTAAAAAAGGTTGTCCTTTGAAACTTTAAACCTTAAACTCTAAGCGCAAACAGGACAATGCGAACACACAGTGTTTGCGCCGTGTTCAGTCAGAAATTTTAATTGTTCTAATCCTTTGGCATTCAGTCAAAATTTACGATGGAGAACGTTCCCATTGCACTTTTCGCGTGAAGAGTTCAGGTTTAAGGTCTAAGCTTTAGAGTTTGCATGGAATGACCAGCTTTTTTGAATTAGCTGTATATTTTAAATACATAAAATTAAACATTAAATTATGATATTTTTTCTTATAACAGAAAATGTGGAATACGAAATTGATTTTATTCAAGACCAACGGAGGATTGATGATGACGATGATAAATTTGACAGTCAAGGCGTCCTCGAATCCGACGACTTTGGCGTAGTGGACCCAACTAAACTGGTCCAAGGATCCGGCGAATGGCAAGTACAAAACAAGAAACGAGCAAAAAAGAAAATCACTTTTGAAATAAGAAAGCAGCTACAAAGTGAAGATGTGATGAATGACGAGGAAGAAATTGGCATTCGTGACGTATGGGAACTACCGGTCACAGATCGCTGGCGCCTGTACCGTAAATGGGTCACCGATATCAGCCAACAGCATCAAAACACCATAGCACTTATTCAGGAAGAATACGATGAAGGAATGAAAGAGCTACAGGAGTTATATAACGCGAAAAATTACGAGCTTCTTCGAGAAGCGCACGTTATAGGAATGACAACGACAGGTAAATATCATCACAATATATTTGTCATCACCATCACCATGGAGATCATTACCATAATTATTACAATCGACAACCTTCTCAACGACATATCTAAAATTAATTGGCACAAACGAAAACACTGAAGTAAAAATTCAAAATCCTTAATTAATATAGTTCACATTTATTGTATTTTTTTCAATTTTTAAGCTTTGAGCAGCAAATTAGAACTAAAAATTCATAAATGCAGTGATTCTATACTGTGAGTCTATATTGTGAGTCTATACACGAGCAACCTAAAGGTTTTGCTTGCCGCTGTGGAGATCATCCGTTGTGGGAATCGAACGGAAATCGCACCCACGACCTTTGGCTTGCTAGCCCAATGCTCTACCAACTGACCTACGAGGTCAAGTTGGTTCGTGTGGGTGAATTTTAAACACGAACTAAAATTCAGTTTGAAATGAGTGCATGCAAATTCATCGGCATATTTTATATAAAAGGTGTATAAAAAAATGCATAATTGTAAAATGTGAGCTTTCAGCTCACCCAAGTTTATGAAGAATTTATGCGAATATGGCCATTTTATGGTCCATTTTATGTTAGACTCGTTTGTTTCTTTTTTATATTAGGCGCAGCTAAACATCGTAACCTTTTACACCGTATAAAGCCCAAAATAACAATTGTTGAAGAAGCTGCCGAAGTTTTGGAATCCCATATCGTGACAGCTTTAACTGAAGGATGCGAACATCTAATTCTCATCGGAGATCATAAGCAGTTGCGACCAAAACCCACAGTATTTCAACTGGGACTGGATTATCAACTTGACATTTCTCTATTTGAAAGAATGGTCGATAATGGTATGTCTCATATATGGAATTTTTTGCTTTAAAAATTGGAAACATCATATTTTATGTATAGTGATCATATTCCAAATGATATTCACTCCTTTGTAATTCAGCAAGACATCGACTTTTTCCTCCAACAAATTAATCTGAGGTTAACGAACTCAACATTACTTTGCACAAATACAAAAAGTAATAAAAGTAGCAATCTGATTAGTTAACAACAAAAAAACGGGAATGACTTGGGATTAAATCGTTTTACAGATCCAACTAACTGTTGGTAGCATCGATAAGGTAGAATTTTGCAATCATACAAAATTAATATGATTTCATTCAAAGAAAAAAGACGTGCGAATTGAACGCATTTATTATTCTGTACGGCATTTGAAGTGTGTTTGAGGTTAGATTAAAACGTCGAATGATTCTGCTAACAAAACAACTAACCTATATAACAACTTTTATGAGTACGACAAACGCGAAACAAGTTTACAATTGAAATTTTGGCGCATTTATAAAAGTTGTTAAAAAGTTAAATCTGCGAAATAAAACCTTAACGCAAACTTATATTAGTGTTTGTTTTGCATATATATAATTTTAAATGCATAACTATTCAGCCCTCGAATTTTCGGTGGCAAATGTCTTGTAAAGCAGAATAAAAACATGTACGCCATCAATTGCTCCAAATGATCGCTTTTATTTCACAGACTTGCAGTTACGAATTCCTTCTGCGCAAATTATTTTTTCCACCCAAAATCGCGAATTTCATTTCCCGCGTGACCAAGACCTGGATATATATAAGTATATTTATTCAATGTCAATTGCGAATTCTTGCTACGCAAATGATTTTTGCCACCCAAAATCGCGAATTTCATTTCCCGCGTGACCAAGACTTGGATATATATAAGTATATTTATTCAATGTCAATTGCAAAGGGAAGTGGTTGCACAAATTACCGGAGCCTCGTGATAAACCTGTTGGTAAATCAAAGCTTAGGGATCACTTTTTGTTGAGAATAAAAATCAGAAACCCCAACAAAATCTCTCGAAGCACAAATGAGAACCACAACCAAACCGGCAGTCATGATATAAGATAGCACTCAACCAACAGTAGCAGACTTAACGGCAAGTGCATGCGTCTGCCTCTCAAATTCCCCGTGTTGCGGCTTTGTAACGCTGTGTGACGTACGCTATTTTTAGATAACTGTGAATTTAAATTTTTGACTTTCTAGAGATGCCTTTTGCCTGTTTACGAGCTCAACACAGAATGCGTCCCGAAATTTCTGTGATGATGCGTCCTATCTACAACAATTTGATAGATCACGAATCGGTTTTTAACTTTGAAAAAATAAAAGGAATCAGCAAGAATATATTCTTTATAGATCACCAAGCAAATGAGGTAATTATTTCTCACAAAATTTTAAAAATTTGTGAGTTTTCAATGTAAGGTGAAATTTATAGTTTTCAAATGCCTAAATACTTTTGGTTTTCATGACTTGAGAAATGTAATAATCGAAACTCATGGAGTATATTTTGTGTGACCATTATGGACCATTATTAACTACGTAAAATGTGATTGGCAATTACACCATGAACCATCTATCAGCTATATTCGACGAGAGCGATTGTGTTTTCGCGTAGTTTACTTAGGCTTTTAGTTGGATATTTTTTACTTCAGGGGATAGCGCTTCTCTCATTTCGCCTTTCCCACGAGGGCCTTTTCCTCGTCTCACGAAATTTTCGCTGTCCGCGCGCGGCTCAACCCTACCTTTCCCATGCGTAATTAGCTCCAGCTATTCTGACCGAAGCATTTGGAATCCATTAAAATTCCTCAATACGACTATAACTTGCGAAACTCGGACCTTGAGTTCTATCGCCTGAAACCTAGAAGTTAGAACTGAGTATTTGAAAAAAGCATAAGTTATAGTGGAGCAAAACTCTGAAATAGCTTAGCGCCCGATTTAAGAATTTTTTATCATTACATATATTTAACACTTAATTGCCGATGCTAATCTGACCTAATTGTCTAATTAACCTAATTCTCTAATTAACCTAATTGTCTAATTATATAAGTAGTTATGTACTATTTAAAAAACGAGCAGTCGTGTTTTATTAGGTTTAAAGCCACGAGCGCGCAGCGCGAGTGGCTTTACACCTAATAAAACACGACTGCGAGTTTTAGGCTTAAAAAACGTTTGTTAAAAATCTTTATATAAAAATCTTTATATAAAAATCTTTATATAAAAATCTTTATATAAAAATCTTTATATAGTTTGCATAACAATGGTCTTTTGTTAAAGTGTTCTTTAGCTGGTATAAAGACGTATGCACGTGACTAATTTCTTACTCAAGATTGGATAATTGCTTCATGAATTATTAATGAGTTTTTGAAGTACTTGTAAAACATAATGTTTATAGTTATTTGTATGCGTCTTCACGCCCCCCTTGAAAATCAGCCTATGCTGGAGGGAACAGCGTGGGTACATATTGTTTTAATAACGAAATAAAACCGCCAGCGACGAAGCTAGCCTACCTATACTACGTCCAGAGTTAATACCGCCAACTATTTTCCCAAATAGTTTTACTCATGTACAATCACAACAATGGCTCCATTAATAAGCATGAACCCTATGGAGTTGAGCAATCAACTTTTAGCCGCGTCACAAGGGTATTGCAATTCGAAAACAGAAAGAAAGGATATTATACAGTCTTCCGGAAAGTATACTTGAGCCTTGTTTTCGCGATTAAAATGTCACCAGTAACAAGATAAAGAACCGAAAAGCAAAAGTTTCAATTTATTTCAATTACGGAAATCTTGCCACTCCCACTTAACATAGGCAAATCCATCGAACACAACCTTAAACGTCAAGAGCATCACAATATACCTTATTCGTACTTAATTTCGCGATTTTTTCGAGGCAATATTTCGCGAGACGTTATTTTTGCGATTTGATAGGCGAAAATAGAAAAAGGCCATTAAATTTCGCAAAACCTTTCTGAACATCATACTTTCTATAAAAATCTGGACTACAATTTTGTAAACAAGTCAACATAAGGTATATATATATTGATCATTGACAGTGATTCAGATGAAGATGTAGCCGATGAAAGTTTGATTTTTTTGCTCTCTTCTGATTTATTGGCGGTAACAACACAAGATGCAAACTGTATTTTATTAATACTAAGACTATTATTAAACTAGAAGTTACTAACGCAAGGAAAGTGCTACCTCGCGGCCAAAACTTTGGGTTAGGTTGTTCAAAATCTGTTTATAATCCATGGATAATTCAAAACTAAATAACACTATAAAGGAAACATAACACTATTATAATTTTTAAACAATGAACATCGTATTCTATTGTAGCAATCGCGTGCATATATGTTACAACAATATTCTAATTGTCTAAAGTGAAGAAAACAGTTCTCTGTAATGAAACAGATCATTTTCTAAGCACTCCAAACAATAGTAGCTAATAAAATTAAGTAATTATGGGTCATTCCACGGCTTATTTCTCCGACAATATATGTATAATGTGACCCGCAGGGCTACCCCCACACATTTAGCTATTATACGATTGTCACTAAGGTTAATTTGAGGATTTTGCAATATTCTTAGACACAAAGTCAAGTGGTCACTTCTAGAGTAACAATCTGGATAATATACAAGGCTCTACGACACTATAGTAAACAACACTATATAACGTTATACAAGACTATATAACAATATATAAAGGCTATACGACACTATACAACAATATACAACACTATATACAACGTTATACAAGACTATGCAACAATATATAAGGTTATACGACACTATACAACACTATACAACGTTATACAAGAATATAAAAATTAAAATTATGACACTATACAAGATTATACGACACTATACAGAGTTATACAAGACTATGCGACACTATACAAGAGTATACAACACTATACGACGCTACACAATAATATACAAGGCTATACCGCCTATACAACACTATACAACGTTCTACAAGACTATATAACATTAATATATAAAGGCTATAAGACACTGTACAACACTATACAACATTATACAAGACTATGCAACAATATATAAGGTTATACGACACTATACAACGTTATACAATCTTGACTATAAAAATTATGACACTATACAAGATTATACATGACACTATGCTACACTATAGAAGACTATACAACACTACACAATGTTATGCAACGTTGTCTATACGGCACTATATAAGGCTATATGATACTAAACAATGTTAAATATTCAAGACTATGCGACATTATACAAGACTATACAACACTATACAATAATATTTTAGGGCTATACGACACTATACAGCATTATACAGCACTAGATATACAGCACTATATAAGGCTATGCGACACTATACAACGCTATACAACGTTATACAAGACTATACAACACTATATAAGGCTATATGCAACATTATACAACAGTATACAAGACTTTAAAATATCATTAATAATTCATAAACCTTGTAGCAAATCATGTCAGCCATAATGTCACGTGGAGTGACTTTATATCTGATAAAACACATGTGGCATTATATAAGTCATATTTACAACATGAGCGGCCGTGTTGTATCGGATATACAAACTCGAGCCAAAGGGGAGAGTTTGTATATCCGATACAACACAGACGCGAATGTTGTAAATGACTTAAAAAGCGACTCATCTTATGAGTTCATTGGCGAAGTAATTTTAAAACTAAACGTTGTCTAAGCCGAGAAAATCAAAGTTAAAGTTTATGTAAATCAACATGAATCTGTATCACATATACAGATACGACACGCTTATGATTTTTCTTTGTGTTTTCTTCATGAATTATTAATGAGTTTTTTAATTGTTCATCTTAAGGCCGGCGCACACTAGAGCTATGTGCTTAGCAAAATGTCATTCGTGACTGTTGGCGTAAGGAGATAGCTCTCGTGTGCGGGCGATTTACGAACGACTTTTGTCATTCGTGCCACTTACGCCAAATATCTAACATGTTTGATAATTTCTGCCTCGCGTGCCAAAATCTTTCCGTGTGCGGCGAACGAAAGCTATCTGCTTACGGATTGTCGTAACAGCGCATGCGTAGTATACGAAAGTAAACATCCAAGATGGCGGCGCAAAATGAATTGCTGGCCGAGGCAATTTTAGAGGACAAACTTACTGGCTATTTCTTTCACCGCACATTCCCTTTTGTCCCTATTTCTAAAATCTGCAGAACTCACATCGTATAAACATTTGTATTCAGGCCAAAGTTCGACAAGTTTGTCCTCTAAAATTGCCTCGGCCAGCAATTCATTTTGCGCCGCCATCTTGGATGTTTACTTTCGTATACTACGCATGCGCTGTTACGACAATCCGTAAGCAGATAGCTTTCGTTCGCCGCACACGGAAAGATTTTGGCGCGCGAGGCAGAAATTATCAAACATGTTAGATATTTGGCGTAAGTGGCACGAATGACAAAAGTCGTTCGTAAATCGCCCGCACACGAGAGCTATCTCCTTACGCCAACAGTCACGAATGACATTTTGCTAAGCACATAGCTCTAGTGTGCGCCGGCCTTTAATTAGCATGATTATATTATGGTTCATCCTAATTAGTGTTCTTTTGTAGTCGTATTTTAAGCTATGCAAAACACTCGTTGTCGTGTTTTATCAGACATAAAACGCTCGGCTGCTCCTCGCGTTTTATATCTGATAAAACACTCCTACTCATGTTTCAAATAGTACATACAACACTATATAAGGATATACGGCACCATATGACACTATACAACGTTATACAAGACTATACAATAATATATAAGGCTATACGACACTATACAACGTTATACAAGACTATATGACAGTATGCAAGACTATACAACACTATACTACACTATAGACGACTATTATACAAGACTATACAAGACTAAACAGGACTATATACAACATTTATGCACAAGACTATACGACACTATACAACACTATATGTCATTTCGATGTTTTCCTTCGTGGTTGAGTTCATAATTAGCTTATATACCCTGTGCCTGTGAGCAGAGCCTTAATATCATTTTCAATCATTTTCACGTTTTTCTTCGTAAATCATAACAACATTTGCCTACATTGAAAATGCCTGCATAATTCTGTCATGATATTTATAAAACGGTCAATATAAACTTATTACTAATATGTAAACATTGTCAACACCGTATACTAATAATTGGCTAAAACGTACCTGCAAAAAATACTTTTCTAACGAAATTATTGTCTTTTATTTGTGAAGAAATTATCGTTTTTTATATTTTTTATCATGGCGGAAAGTACAGAACGAGAGCTTTACGGCGACTTACGAGCAATTACCCGCCATCAGAAATCCAAATTTCTTCTATATTTTGAATCAAGCTGCATCGTTGTCAAGAATCAAAATCAGTTATCGAGAAATTAAAGTCGCGCGAAATTAAGTACGAATAAAGTAATGTCTTAATTTTTTTGATCATTTTACATTTCTTTTTTAGGATGCCGTTGATGAAAATCAAAGCCGGTCAAATGTTCACGAAGCCAAATTTATCGGTTCGTTGTGTCAATACCTACTCCAGCAAGGTTATCCACCTTCTGAAATCACAGTGCTAACACCTTACAGTGGTCAACTGCTTCAACTGAAAAAGTTTGTGCCAAATAAAGAAGGTTTAAGAGTTTGCGTGGTTGATAATTTCCAAGGTGAAGAAAACGAAATCATCCTACTGTCTCTGGTTCGAAGCCAAGATATCACGACGAACGAAAAAAGGGAGATTCGCAGGTTGATTGGGTTCCTCGCAATTGATAACCGTATTTGCGTGTCTTTGTCGCGAGCAAAGAAAGGTTTCTTCTGCATTGGGAATTTAACTTTGATGAGAGCGGCAAATGATCTCTGGTCAGATATTCTTGATGACATGGAAGAAAGGGGTTGTGTTGGAAACTCCCTATCACTGGCATGTCAAAATCACCCGACAACCATAACACATGTCAGTAACGACTCTGATTTCAAGAAAGTTCCAAATGGTGGATGTAGTGTCAATTGCAAAGCGAGATTGGACTGTGGTCATAAATGCGAGCAGCTGTGTCATCCAACTGATCCTAATCATGAAGAATACGACTGCAGGAAGCGTTGTCAAAAAAAATGCCAGCGTGATCATCCGTGTAAACGTCTTTGCTATCAGGATTGCAATAATTGTATGGTTGAAGTTTCCAAGGTTGTTCCCCGATGCAATCATCTCCTCGGAATGCCCTGTCATCAGGATCCCTCCACTTTTCAGTGTACAAAGCCGTGTCCAAAGAAGCTCCGTTGTGGACATGCATGTCCAAACAAATGTGGAGAACGTTGTGCACGAAAATGCGTTGAGGAGGTTCGCAAAACTTGGTCTTCGTGTAATCATACATGCAAAACTCAATGTCATATTGATCCTACGAAGACTGTGTGCCCGAAATCTTGTAACAATTTACTGAAGTGCGAACATATTTGTACAGGTAGGTAATTAAGCATTGCCTATGCAGAAAGTAAAATTAAACCTTTTTATATTTGAGATTTTTTGAAATCGTAAAAACGCTAAAATAACAGGAATCAACGGTAATTATAAGAAAATGCCTAGAAAAAAATTTATAAATTTACCCTCTTTAAAAAGAGAGTAAATTTCACATCCAATTTTTATCCAAATTCAACCAAAATTTTGTCCGTGTATCGTTGACCTATGGTCAATAGCCCCATAATTTATCATATTAAGCTTTGAATTAGTTTTTGACTTTGACAGACAAAACGAGAGGTACAAACTCAAAGCGGACGACAAGACATTTGAATACACCAAAAAATCTGTGCAACGATTCAGAACAAGCGATTTTGAATTACTTTAATACTCTTTTTTTGCTAATTTTAGGGACATGTGGTGGATGCAAAGAAGGACGGGTTCATAAACCTTGTTCTTCAAATTGTGGTCGAGTGCTGTTTTGTGACCACAAATGCAAAGTGCCTTGCACGAAGAACTGCCCAGCGTGTTCTGAAAAGTGCGAAAACAAGTGCCCACATAGCCAGTGTCAATACAACTGTGGACAGCAATGTAAAAAATGCAACGAGCCTTGCCAGTGGAGGTGCAAGCATTTGAAATGTACCAAGTTGTGTGGTGAGGTTTGTAACCGTCCTCGCTGTAACAAGCCATGTATGGAAATATTGGAGAAATGTGGTCACCAGTGTGCTGGTCTGTGTGGCGAACTATGCCCAAAGAAGTGTCTGATTTGCGACAAAGATGAGTTGACCGAAATTTTCTTTGGCTACGAAGATGAGGAAGGAGCAAGATTTTTAGAGCTAGCTGATTGTGGTCACGTTTTTGAGGTAACAGGGATGGACGGCTATATAGATACGCAGGAGAAGGAGATGAAGAATGGTCAATCTACAAGCATAAAGATGATCAAATGCCCAAGATGCAACAAGGCAATACGGACAAGTTTAAGATACGGTTTGTAGTCCAAACGTTCATAATGCACTAAGGCGGCTATTACACTATGCAACTCGACTATTTCGATAAAATACAAACTAAATGATACTCGTAAATGGATAACATTTCATTCCCTGCTCTTGTATTATATTTTAAGATTTTTGCGAAATCAGTGACACTAAATTAGTAGAAAATGCCTTTTCTTAAAAATGGCGGCATAAAATATAAAAAAATTATGGAAACCAATTTAGTTAATTATCTCCGCCATGCTGGAGATTATGTTTTCTTAAAGTTCTCAAACCGTCTTACTGTGTATTCTACAGTTGCGTTTTCTCGAGCCATTTAAACAATGAGCACGTGAATATTAAATGATGCAGTACGAAATTGCAAATTGTAGTAAAAAATTGTTTCGTAACAGATGGAAGAGTAATTTTGTAATTTTAAACCTTTACTAAATGTGTGTACCGCTTCTTTTAATTAACCAGGAAACATCGTCAAAGCAATCCTTCATGACTTTGAAGGAGTTAAGAAAACCATACATTCCAGAAATGTTGCGTCTATCAGCACGTTCCAAGAAAAAGTAAGACAAGATATTAAAAGTGCTCAGTTGGCAACTGAGTTTCCCACAGAAACCTCAAACATCGAAACCAAGTTAGAAAAATCAAGTTTAACAAACGAAGAAGTAAACGTAATTGAAAATCAAGTTCAATTCCTGAAATTTATGGCCAAGATGAAAGAGTTAATCAAGCAAGCGGAATCAGTGAAATGCCGACCTCCTGCTCACAGAAATAATCTTTCGGAACCTGAGGCAAGCACCGATGATCGGGAAATAGAATTAATGCAGTGTGAACTGGAATATTTGTTGCAATGGGTGATGAAGGATCGGGAGCGATTCAGTCAACAAGAATTGGAGGAATTTAACGAAGAACTCCATCGTTCATGGCTGATGCTCTCATACCTGGCTTTAAGTTCGGAAATAAGAAAACAAAAAGTCAGTTTATCCGAAAAAGAGAACAGGTATATGGCATACGTTAAGGAAAATCTTGAAACTGGAACTAAACTTAGTAAGTATGTTGTATGTCGAATAGAAATCGCATTTAACTACATTAATCAACAGATTTAACCCATGCAGTAAAGATGAGGCAAACAACACGCCCAATATAAACAACCTCTGTATGTACACAATTGCAAGAGATAAAATAATGAAAACTCGCAACGAGTCGTAGACCCATTGAATGCATGCTATAGATGAAACATTATATTGATGTATTTATTTAGGTGAGCAGACGAAAGATAAATGCACACGGCGTCTTCAGTGCATTACACGTAACAAAGCACTCGGCGTGAAGTACACAACCGTAACTGAAGGGGAAAAGAATATTATTGTCAAAGCTATTGGTCTCAGTAAGGGTCATTGGTTTAAATGTCCTAAAGGTAAATTATGTAAAAGCTAGGTTAGCTAGCCTACTTTTGTGTATGAAAAACTCACACAATGTGAATTGTTGCCCCATTGGGAAATTCGCCAATAAGTGCGTATAAAATTTTCTTGTATTATTTTTCGTGTTTTGGGTTGTATTGAAGTGACATACCATTTTAGAGACCTTTCAAAATGGAATTTTCGAACGAAAATCTGTATTCATTTCAGGCCTTACCATGCGGGAGCAATTGCGATTAGCGCAACCATGCATATAGGCTATCTGTCAGGAATTGAACTTGCGGCCCTGCCTTTGCGGTGCAGCGTTCTAGCCAATTGAACTATAAAGTCCAGTTGCCGAGCATTAACCATAAATTCATATATATGTAATGGGACCCCAGAAGACCCAATTATATATACACGATGGCCTACACGTAAGGTTTTAAAATGCATACAAATTTTCGATTCGAAAATTCCATCTTCATAAAGCACATCTACTACCAGTTCTATCGCATGAGAAGCCGAATATGTCACTTTAGAGACCACATATTTTAAAAATTGCCTGTCAGGGCATGCGGCCAGGTAATTTAAATTGCATTGGGGCATCCAACACTTTTTGTAGAATAACAAAACTATGGTCAGCTAAGACGGATTAAATATGCTTCGACACTCTGTGTGTTCCGTTTTCGAGTCCTCTGACTAGGAGACATTACTATATTTAGCAGGTCAAGCCAATCTGGTATTAGGCCCGTTTGGTTGCGTCGAATGCAATTAAGGCAATAGCTAATGAGATAATAAACCTCATTAAGCTTCATTATCCACTGTTTGAATTGCACTCGACGCGAGCGAAATTCGACGTATAAAACGGGCCTTACATGGCGAACGGACGCGTTCGAGCAAGTTCCCGTCGGCTCGTCCCTAGCCAGCACGTCCCTGATTGCTGCACGAAATTAACTATTAACTATTGCAGACAATTAACTATTCACGCAAACGCAAAGCATGCAAAAAGCTTTTTTAGAAAAATGTACCTTTGCCTAATTTGCATATTGCAGCAATATGCAAATTTAATAGGTAAAGACATTAATTTAGCATACAAAAGGCTGATTTCTTAGGAAGAATAAATAGTTAAAGGAGCTTAAACTAAAACAAATTGTTTGAAACTTTATACAGTAATTAAAAACCCAACAAATGTTCCATCCATTAACTCAAAATACGATTAAATCTTTTAATTAAAATTCATGCGGAAGCCATTTTTAGTTTGTTGGAAAAGAAACGCTCCCTGGTTTACAAAATTTGAGTTTGCATCGAAAGATGCATTACAATTTACAACTTTTACAACTTACCCCAAATTTGTAACTCTCAAATCTTTAAATTAGATTTTAGATAAAATCATTTGGCACCGCCCATCCCCCAACTCCAATGTAAGTTTTTATTTGAAAAAACGTGAACAACAAGACAACGGAAAGTGACAAAAGTTTAATGCGGCAAAGTACGATGTTTGTGAACAATTTTTTAATGAAAATTTATCGTGGTAAGATGTAGTTTGCGTTGATTGCAACGTTAATTGTTTTGTAAAAATGGCACAAAATGACCGGATTTTTTACACTGACAGAAATAGAGTGCTGACGAGTTAATAATTGCATTTTCATTTCAGGGCACATTTACTGTATTGGAGAATGTGGAGGCGCTAGTGAAGAAGGAAAGTGTCCAGAATGTGGAACAAAAATTGGTGGGACGCAACATCGTCTTGTTTCTGACAACAGTTTAGCTCCAGAAATGGATGGTGCAAGACATGCAGCGTGGTCTGATAGAGCTAATAATATGCTTGGTATTTGAGACAATAACTTCCGTGCAAATCGTCGTTTACATTCCTTTTTCATTCTTAGTAGACATCAGCATTTGACATTCATGAATTGAACTCGTATAAAAGTAGATGTGAATTCAGATTAGTGGACAAAAGTAGTAGTAGGATGGTTGTCCAATACTGTCGCTCTTGACGACTGTTGAAATACGTAAGTCGCAATCTGCGAGTGTTGCTTTCCATTTCTAGATTAGGGTATTAATTAGCTTTATAATATACGTGAATTATAACACGTAATTTGATTGGCTAATGAGCGTGCATTAATTTCTAACGCCATAATGCACTGCCTTGGTTTTTCCATTTTTCTCGGTTTGTGTCCTCCGGTATATTTGGAAATCGATGTGAACAGATTATAGAGTGCCGTTTAAATCTAAAATTTATTAGAAAGAGGAAAGAATAGACCGAAAATCAAGAGGCAACGTGACAAGAAAGGCAAAGAAATTTCCGCAACTGTTTTTCAGTTTGATTTGAACTAGCCGAGAAAAACTTCACAAAGTACAGGAACACACAAAAATAGAAAAAAGTTACAGAAGCCGTTTTGTGGACATTTGTAAATGGAAATGGTACACTAATACAGCAAATACTTTTTGTAAACAAAACATTTTTAGTAACTCAACTTTATTGCAGTCTTCCTAACTACTTTGGGAAGTGCCTTTCACATATTGGCAATTTGAGTACTATATCTAAATGAAGTTGTAATTATATCAGGATTAATTATACACTTTTGCAAATTCCTTCTCAAATGACGTCATTTTTACGTTACCAGCCCGATAAACCTATTACCAAAACCTTGGATGCTTCCTCTCGCCCGAAAAAACGTATCATGTTTTGGTGTAAAAAATTCAGGAATGCGACTACATTCCTATAGACCCTTAGCACATGACGTAAAAGCGCCGGTGACTTATGCATCTGGAAGACAAATTAGCAAATTATATTATGCAATATAAATTTTGTTAACAAAGTAAATTTTGTAAAACTATAATTTTGTATTAAAATTAATGGTCAATTTTCGCGCTCTATGTGGTTTTTATACCAGATAAAAGAACAAGGTAAAAATACAAGGGAACTAGGGAGCATCTGGAGGACACTCTGAGGATTTGTGACGTCAGCGCAATGGGTCTATACCTAATTGTTAAAATGTGGAACTATTTTTAGCTATGTCAATATAATATCTCGCGTACCAATCAGACTTCACCATTCCTACGATGTTGGTTTCACGACGTTAGGAATATGGTCACATTCCTGAATGTTTTGACACGAAAACATCGCGCATTTTCTCGAGCGAGAAGAAAAATCCGCGGTGTGGGTAATCGGGAAAAATTCTGAGCTCATTAGTTGAGCTCTAATTAATTTAATTACTATAGAGGAACTTTTACAGCGTTTATATTGGCGACACATGTTGGGATCCCCTCGCTGATCCCTTAACACTGGACAGCGCACTACTATGCTAATGAAAGCAACATTTCCCATATTGGTGTGACCACCATAAATTTATTGTGTTCCTGACATGTTGCAGAACTTCAACTTCAACTTTATTTAAACACGGTACTATTTCACAGTATATTAAAATATATTATTTACAAAAACAACCAGAAAAAAGTGATCTTCCAATAGGCCGTGTGCTAACTACAATAAATATAAAAAAAATTTATAACTTAACATTATATCAATCTACATTGTTTTACCCCACTCTTAAAAGTTGCTATACTTCCTAGCGACTTCAGGTCAATTGGGAGAGCATTCCAAGTCTCCGCACCTCTGTAGGCCAATGATTTTTTCATAGCATTAGTATTTGGCATTGGTAATGTATAATTAAATTCGCTATGCCTATAGTGTTATGATTATGGACTTCTTGTGTATTGATGAAAATATCCTGCAGGTAGTTTGGAACCATTTTATGTTTAATCTTATACATTAATGTAGCAAGTTGTTGTTCCCTTCTTGTTAGCTGATCTGAAAATCCTGCCTTGATTAGAATATCTTTTGATCGCGTTTCATATCCTTCACGGGTAATAATACGAAATGCTCTATTTTGGAGACGCTGAAGTTTATCTGATAAAACATTTCCTAGGCAACCCCAAACTTGTGTGCAATAATCAAAGTGTGGTTGGATTATTGATTTATAAACAGTTATTAAAGTATTATAATCAACAATATCCCGCAGTCCTCTAATAATGCTGAGTCCTGAGTTAACTTTTTTTGTAATTTTTTCAACTTGGGCCGACCAGCATTAAGTATCATCAATCATTAGGCCAAGCGACTTGGTCGCATTAACCTTTTTAATCTCTCACACAAATTGAGGGTTCTTGGACTATTTGGCCTAGTCGCTTATTGCTACCTATAACCATGAATTCGGTTTTTTTATTGTTCAAAGTTAATTCATTAGCTGACATCCAAGTCGAAACATTTATTAAATTTGTGTTAATATTCTCTAAGATCACATTGATATCGCTATTAGATGTTGCAAAACATATTGTCCACATAGAAATAGGTCATCAATAACGTCTCTCTTAAATTTGCTAGTGAATAACTAATGAGGTCAACCAATATGGCCGCCTCGAGTCACACTTGCGAATTTGGGAAATACATGTACAACGGCAACAAAACGTGTTGATTGACAATAGTCAATTGTCAAGACAAAGGCGTCCATAAATTGTATTCGAAAATTTAAATACGAAATTAAAATTCGCAAATTTAAATACGAAATTACAGGACCCCAAATTAGGTCCAAAGAAGTGGTGGAGCATAGTCAAATCGTTATACGGAAGCAAAATACATTCAACAATACCGCTACTATTTGACGGTGATCGCATAATAAATTATGCAAAAGAAAAAGCCACAATCTTTAATCAGTACTTTATTACTTAATAATGATGCCCCGAAACCTAACATAATTGATTTTCAAAATTCCCGGTTTATTTCACATCTATCCACAACTGAGTTCGAAGTTAAAAATTTATTAAGTATAATTGATGTTTCTAAGGCTTGTGGTGTCGATGGTATAGGTAACTTTTTAATTAAAACTTGTGCTCATGGTATTGCGACTTCTTTTTCATGATTTATTAAAATTTCTTTTTCCAAGGGAATTTTTCCGTCTGCATGGAAGAAAGCAAATGTTATACCTATTTTCAAAAAGGACGATCGCCAATCTAGGGAGAAGTATCACCCTGTTTCGCTATTGATATCTATTTCAAAAATTTGTGAAAAAATTGTATTTAATAGGCTTTATAATTTTTATTGGCAATTCATTCCCTGAACCCCTTTCAATCAGGTTTCCGACCTGGAGACTTTACAGTAAATCAACTTGTTTTAATTGTTCATAAAATTTATGAAGACTTATAGCAAGGTAAGGAAGTTCGCATGGTCTTTTTTGACATTAGCAAGGCTTTTGAGAAAGTCTGGCATAAAGGCTTGCTCCGTAAGCTCGAATCTCTGGGAGTAAGAGATCCCTTACTTAAATGGATTAATAGTTACTTATCTGGTAGGATGCAGCGAGTAATAATAGATGGTCGGTCATCTGATTGGGACCGAGTCGAAACTGGTGTTCACCAGGGTGCTCATGTTCTGGGCCCTCTGCTTTTTTAAATTTACATAAATGATATCACAATGAACCTGCTTGAACTCCTCAAGTTGAAAGTTCAGTTTTTACAGCAGCTAGCTCACATTCTTTGTTTTATTCTGTTCATCGAACAGGTCTTGTTTGAGACGACTTATTTTTCACCTTGCTCGGTTTCCTTTGTTCTTATAAGGGAATATATTCAATATTCACCTCTAATCAATTTCCGTTTAATAATCCCCTATAATATTCACCTGCAATGTCTCAGTTTGCAGTACAACAAAACGAAGGCAATATGGCATTAAGAATTATTTCTATTCTGACTCATTACGTTATTTTGATGCACCTCGGGGATATGTGTTTATTGTCTTTATTCATCTCGGCGCTGAGCGCCTCGGTGAATAAATCACATATCCCCCCGTTGCCTCAAAATAACCTATACTTATTATTTCCTCGTCACAATTTTTGGATAGATACATAGCTTGTATATATTGGCCAAGCTTTGCAGTGAGATGCTATAACTTCTTGCACAGATGTTATAGTATTTAATCGAGGACTCGACAAGCGGTTCATTCCTTCACAGAAATGCACACATTTTTTCACGTATAGCGTATCCATCCCTACCTTGAAACAAGAGTGTACTTTGTTTTCCTGGATACCAGGTGCAACTCAATGACTCAGTGTTTGTACTCGTAAACAGTTTTGCGGCGCCTCCAGGCGATGTCCATTTTCCCTGAAGTCCAAACACATCACTTGTAATTTTCTTCAACGACTCAAGATCACAGCTGCACTATTTGAGATGAATTCCGTCATAAGACATGCATATTTGAAAGACCTGCACAAACATCATTGGCAAGAAAGGACATATAGGTTGAATTTTCATCTTCCATTCTGTCATTTTCAGCAGAGTGCCTTAAAGCACGTCTGATCGACGCCCAGTCTGGAAAGTTAACTTTTTGCACGCCGGACATCGATTCAGGTACATGTAAATGTACGCCAATTTTGGAAATATTAACGCGCAAAAGTTCCAAATACACCTTTTTAGTATAAACCTATTTGGTTTATATTTGTTGAATTTGAACAATTACTAGTCTATGTGAACAAATGTACGCCATTATGTACGCCGAAGTTTGTGTTTGTACACCGGACATGTCCGGCGTACACACCTTACATTCCAGTCTGGATCGACGCCATGTTTTATATATTGAGGACAACACAATTATTGCGAGTTTTTAGTGAGGGAGTACCCAAAGAGAAACTCTCGAAGCACTGGAGAGAACATAATGATGGAGAGTTGAAGAAATCTATTGTTTAGGTACTATTTCTTCACTGTCTTATAATTCACCTTTTTAATTAAATAAATTTTAGTCGGCATATTTCATATAATCACTTCAAAACAGCTTTCTTGTTTGTGCCAGATAAACATTTAGTTGGTTAAGAAACTTGATTGATAGGTTTTCTTTGTTTGTGATATTTTATCCAATCGAATACAAGAACGATGACGTCAGTGTTAAGTTGTTCCTAATTTGGTATGCAACTTCGGAACCTGTTTCAGGATCTTTGTTTTCATTGCATCTGAAATTATTTTCTGTTTACAAGGCTAAACGCGAGCAAATCCTTAAACAAAAGTCAAGGAAATCTTCTTTTTTACGTTTGTCATATGATAAAAATCCTATTGAATGGATTAACATATAATCCAGCCGAGCATTTTACTCGTTTTTCCCGTAACTCGTAAAATACTCGGCCTTATTACATGTCAAACCATTGAATAAGATATATATAATCTATAAACTCCGTTATTTCTTTTAAACACTTCAGAGATTGCGCTGTATCAAATTACTTGTTTAACGTGTATATGACGTCGAAATCGCGAACGACAAACACCTTACTGGGGCATGCATATATTAAATTACCCGCAGGTGTATTTAATTGCTTAGGGACATGTCTCGGCTGTCATGGTGTGTATTTCGCTTAATATGAGAAACTTCTCATTCCATACGAATTTCAAAGACGAGTAAATTAAGGTAGGTGACTTTATCTACATTGTCTATTTTTGATGCAATGCTTACTAATGCTACATGATGGCTTGAATAAGTAAGGTACGTCGGTCATAAAATTAGATGAATTGTTAACATAACGACCTTGGTATTCACTTATAGTCTGTATACTTTTCAAAGTTTATATTTCCTTGAATTTTTCATTGATCGCATCAATATCGAGTAAATATACGCGGGAAAATAATAGCTATGATCATATATTAACGAGTTTGCAACAGCGATAATACTAATAAATATTCGCGCGGGTTGGTTTCACTTTATAAAAATAGTCAAACGTAAGCGCAAAATCGTCCTGCGATATTATGTGCGATGACTACAAAAAGGCGGTGAAAGCCATACATTGAATATAAAGCACTATGGTGCGTGTATGTATAATTATGATATATATTTTTTATATTTTTCTTCAAATTGAAAAGTAGTTTCGGTTTCACTATGATTGGGTTCCGCAATAACACGTATGCATCAATATCAATGGGTCGAAATTCTTCAACTGCTATTACTTGTCAATCACGCGCGTTAGAATATAGTACACATGAAAAGTCACTGTCCGAAAAACAATTATATTACGATGTTCTATACATAATATACTTCTACGATTGTTAAAATCTTACTCTTTTTCTTCCGCTTTCAAATTCGGGGATTTTTTCAGTAGGGGAAAACCCTGACTTTTCACATTTAAATAAACATACACTGTATTAAATTTGTACTATTTCCAGGACATTTGGAACGGCAGATTTTCATGCATATATATATATATATCAAGAGCCGTACATAGTATTATAGGCATGCATGAAGCACGTGTTCTACTCTGAATTCTAGGAATATGAAACATGCATTGAATACGAGCTTATAATTTTCAATATCAAAGCATATACTTCTAATAATTTCTTGACAATCCATATATGCGTAATGTGAAACTCGTATATGCAGCTATGAATTTTTTAGCGATTCCCAGCAGGCCATTCGCGCTCGTATTCGACTTTTCCGATTTGCTTGAGGACAACATTAATTGAAATAGCTGTACTGATAACATACTATAACATATATAAGGATGCATGTTTTCCGTCTACTATATATAATATTACTTATTCTTAAAGAATGAACAGTATATGAAGCGGTTTGCCCTGTTGACGGAATTCAGGTGCTGGACGTGT